AGTTCCAAGATAGCCAGGAGTACATGGAGGGGCGTGGGGGGGGGGGGGGGGCGATTACTTAAGCTGTTTGTCACAAAGATGGTTAACACCTTGCTCTGTTAGAGTTCCAGGGTCTTAAACTGTGAGAAGTCTCTGTTCTCTCCCTTATCACCCGGGTGCTGCACAGCACCCAATTCCAAATTGGCAATCATGCAGAAGGTCATATGGTGAAGAAACCTGTTTAGTTTTGCTCAATCCTGAGTTCTACAAACATGCTGCTCTCCAGCGCTTCTTTTTCAGTTATGCTCATTTAAATTTGAAAGAACTGGGATTCTGTTGGAAGCATTTGGCCAAATGCAGGTCTTGTAGGGTAAAGGTGTTTTTCCTTGGCCCTAGTCCCGGGGTCAAATCAGGGTCAGGGTGTTTTTGTTCCTTGGCCACTTTTACCCAACAGGTCTAAGTTCATGATTGGAACTGATAGGTGGTAGATCCACAAGAATAAAAGACACTTTATAGTTCAAATAGTGGCCCGTACCTGGAATTCCAGTAGAAAGATTGCTACAGGTGAGTTCCAGGTCAGAAAGAAGCAAATAACAGCAACCAATCTTGGCTGGTTACTTAGTTTAGTAACCAACACTTCCATATACCCTAACCAATCCTGTGCCAAAGAATACCTCAGAAAAAAAGTACAGCTATAAAAATTAACTAAGCTAAATTAACTGGTAATTGAATTAATAGTATTCCCCCCCCCGCCCCCCCATGGTGCTGTGGTTGAAACCTTGAACATGCCGGAAGACGGTTCTACCACTGAGCTACTTCTCAAGTTTATGTTTTATTGTTTTTGCTGTTGACTGTTTTTTAGTCTTTTTTTTTTTCTAATGATTTTATTTTACGTGCATTGGTGTTTTGCCTGCATGTACGTCTATGTGAGGGTGTCAAATCACTTGGCGCTGTATTCCAGTTGAGACCTGTGACACATAGGTGCTGGGAATTGAACCCGGGTCCTCTGGAAGAGCAGCCAGTGCTCTTAACTGCTGAGCCATCATCTCTCCAGCCGTCAGTCTTTGTTTTTTGCCTGTAGACTTCTATCATCTCGTTGCTTTATTGTCATACATCACATAGAACGCAAACTTCACTGTATTCTCCATTTTGAGTGTGTCATTTAGTGGCACTAAATACATCCACGATCATACCTGGCAGGCTTCACCAGTAGCCCTCCCCAGGTTTGTTTGTTTGTTTTTTTTTCCTGAAGAAATAAAATAAATATAAAATAAGATAAAAAGATTTTATTTGTAGTCATGTGTACATGTGTGCACTTGAGTGTGCGAGTGCATGGATGTCTCTTGTGGCGCTGTGAGTGCAGGTGCCCCTGGAGTTCAGAAGAGGGTGTCAGGCCCCCTGGAACTGGAGTTAGAGGTGGCTGTGAGCCCTCTGACATGGTAAGTGGGAGCTAAACCCTGGGCCTCTAGAGGAGCAGTATGGTTTCTTCACTGAATTGTCTTTATAGCTCATCCCCCTCCCCCCAGTCTTTTTCGCTCTACTGAAATTCTATATTGTCTTATGTTTACCTTCCTTAATGTTCAATCATAAACGCTCTTCCCTGTGCAATTTCCTTTTCCATAAAATTCAGTTTGGTGTATTTGAAAGGCCGCCAGGAGCGGAGCCGCGGGCAGCGCAGGCCGGGCCGCATCCCCGTCCCCGCGCCAGCCGCCCGCGCCCGCCATGCGCCCCGCAGCGGCCCGCGCGCCCGGGCCCCGTGTCGTAGCGCGGCGGGCGGAGACCGCAGGCTCCCAGCCCGGGCCCGCCGTGTCCTCGAGCCCGATCGGCGCCGCTGCCCGGCGCCAGCGCCCGGTGCCGCCGCCGGCGAGGGTGGTGCAGGCCGCGACCCGGGCGCCCGGGGCCCTGAGTGATGGAGCAGGCCGAGAGCCGGGGACCCTGCGTGGTGGAGCAGGCCAAGGGCCGGGGACCCTCCGGGCGGTGCAGACTGGGGCCTGGGTGCCCCCGGGGTGGCGCAGTTTGGGGACTTGGGGACCCTGTGGGGGTGGCGCGGCCTGAGGACTGGGGAGCCCTGCAGGGAGGTGCAGGCCGGGACCCCGGGACTCTTCTGGGGTGGTGCTGAGGGGCCCCAGCATGCTTGCTTGGCCTGACGCCATTTTGAGCAGGGCCTGAGGAGTGCGGGGAGGGTTCAGTTGGAGGACATGGGCGCAGGAACGAGCGGGGTGTCTGCGGTCGGCCACCTGGCCCCAGAACAGGGAACTGGAGGGTCGGAGGGACAGTTTGTACCCTGGATGGGGGCCAGGTCAGCAGGCGTGTCGAGCTCGGGGAAAAACCACGAGCTGTCCTGAGTTTGAACCTGGCCTCATATGAATCGCCCAATCAGAACCCTGTAAACCTGGCCTCATATGAGTCGTCCAATCAGAACCCTGTAAACCATGGCCTCATATGAGTCGTCCAATCAGAACCCTGTAAACCATGGCCTCATATGAGTCGTCCAATCAGAACCCTGTAAACCATGGCCTCATATGAGTCGTCCAATCAGAACCCTGTAAAACATGCTTCTTGCTTCTGTACCCGCCCTTCTGCTGCCCGACCCTATAAAAACCCTCCACTCCAGCCCGTCGTCGGCGCGCCAGTCTCTTCAGCCTCTGGAGGGACTGTGTCGCCCCGGGTACCCGTGTTCCAGAATAAAGCCTCTTGCTGTTTGCATCTGACTTGTGGTCTCGGTGTGATCTCTGGGCGAGGGTCTCTCCAGAGGGAAGACTACCTTCGGGGGTCTTTCATATTATGAGAGATAGCCTGTTAAGCAATATGCTCATGGCTTGGCCTGTAAGTGGACATTTGATTATTTTCATTTTTCTTTTATGTAAACACCTGAGTGCCTAAAATATTTTTCATATTTTGTGTTAGTCTTAGGACAGCAAGTAGATAAAAGAATATGAACATTTTGGTGATTTCTTTCTTTCTTTTTTTTTAAATGAAAAATGCCTAGGCAGGAGAGCAGAGACTTCAAGAACAGCTTGCTACTAAAGTGACATGAGCCCTAAGGGTAAAAGGACCACTTTGCTTGCTCAAAATGTTACTGCCTTTCTTCTGGTTTTATTGAGAAGTCATCTCTGCTGATTCCTTGTAAAGATTTCCTTCTTTTTCTTCCTTTTCCTCTCCCCTAATTTTTTTGGGGTGGTGGTGGTAAATTGCTTCACCCCTAGTCTTGTTTCCTTGAATGTATGCCATGAGGCTGTTGCCTGAGCTCACTGAGACCTGGTACAGTCTTGATTCCTCCATGTGGTACTGCCTATCTAAGACGCCTGGCCCATCTTGAGCACTCCCAAAACATTATCTGTACTGTTACTACTCCATCATAGAGAAAATAGAACAAATTCTTTATCCCTTGTTCCAGGGAATGGCTATGATAAGAAGTGTGGTACTATCCACTGTCTAGATCTCTAAAGGGCTTTGTTTGCAAACAGACTGTCAAGTCACGGCCATCTTTCATCTTTCCTGAAAGAATAAAACAGATGAATTCATATACGGACAGAGGAATTTCCTGTGCTTTTGCTGTGGCAAATTACTGCTAATTATTTACAAAGTTCTGCTAAGTGTTCAGAATGGAAAACAATAGGTTTTGGTTACCTGTGATCTAGAAAAGCTCCTTAGTGTAAGGAATGGGGACCCATTGTGCTTCAAGTTATAGGTTAACGAGCTAAGACACATCTACATTGTACCCTGAGGGTGGATGACTGAACTGTTTTGAACTGAATTGACAAGTGTTGGGCTGGTTACAGGTACTAATGAGCAATCACGATTGGAGTTTAATGGAATTTCTATCCTCAGCAAATAAAAAAGAAACCTACTTTCTCCTTCTTGTTCTATATGTATAATATATGTACATATATGTATGTATCTAGATATATGTATTTATAGATGGCATAGTTACTTGCATTTATATTTCCTGTTCAAAGCCTAGTCATACCAGCATATATTTATTACAGAAATATGTGGCTTGGCAAATGGTGAGAATGTTATATCAAATTGCATCTCACTTCATTTTGATTTTAAAAGGCTAAAGATGTCTGAGTGACTGACAGGCGTCAATCAAGACTATTGTTAGAAGTTGTGTCTATGGCATCAACATTCGAAGTAAAAGTTATGCTTATTCAGTTGTGATCACACTTACTTATGTCGTATTCTGCAGACATAAATAAAGTAAGCAACTCTACAGCGTTGCTACAGAAGCAACTCGGGATGGCATTTGGTGAAATCACGCCAAGCTCCTAAGGTAGCAAACTGACCGACTTTAATGCTGTGAATCACAGCATCGGGTTCCATTAAAGCAATCATGCTGTGACCGCCGTCGGGATAAAGTCCTTTTTATTAAATACTTATTTCTTAAATAGCTACAAGAGAATAAAAATCAAACCAAAACCCCAACCCCGTTCTACTCCACCAGGCTATGGGAAGGCAGAGGGGCCAGGCGCTTCTCCAGCAACAAGCCAAGTCAGTGACGCGGCAAGTAAATTCAGATATTCCGTAAATGACAAACCAGAAATGAGGCACGCCAGCTGTTCACACTGGAAACTTACCCAACATTTTATTTTGGTCCAAGTTTTATTTATTACGAGAACAAACGAGAGTTAAGTTTTCAATGGGGGTAGGGAGTCTTATTCCTTACCCCAGCAATAAGGACTAGTGAAATTTCAGCGCAGCTCGGCGTTCTAAAGGTTGCGTCTACGCTCCCCTTTCTTCCTACCACCAACCGCTCCGGCGGGACCGCCACCTTGGGGACAGAACCCCAGGACCAGGACGCCTCTTCTCGGGCGCCTCCTCCGTGGTCCGCCCACTGTCCTCCCACACTCCTGCCTCTCAAGAGTCGCATCTAGGGGATCCGGCAGTGAGCTGCGCCACGTCCCTCTCTCCGGCTCGCAGCCGGGGAGCCGCGCGGCCACCGAGCCCAGGTGGCGAACAAAGGCGGCGCGGGGCGCGTGGCCGGGCTAGCGCGCGTCTCCCCGGCAGGCGGCGGCGGCGGCGGCGGCGCGCGCCGGAGCCCGCATTCCACCGAAGCGGCCGGAGCCCGCGGGGCGACGTCACCCCAGGCTCCGCCCCCGTCCCTCCCCGAGCAAAGTAACTCCGGACTACCCTGAGCTGCCTCTGCCGAGCATGGAGAGCAGCGGCCGCGGCTGGCGGGCGGCGCGGGAGACGCTTTCGCCCGCGAGGTAGTTTGCCGACGTTGCGCAAGGACCAAAGTGCTGGCGGGTGGCCGCGGCGTCCCCGCGAGCCCCCCACGAGGCCGGCCGGGCGGCTGGCTGGTGGATTTCGCCGCGATCCCCCCGGAGGCTCTTTGCAAAGCTGCTTGAAACTTCTCCCAAAACTCGCCATGGATGTGGCGGCGGCGGCGCTGCCTGCTTTTGTGGCGCTCTGGCTCCTGTCCCCGTGGCCTCTCCTGGGGTCGGTCCAAGGCCAGTTTTCCGCAGGTGAGTGGTCAGGGGTGGGGGGCATCTGGGTCTGTGGCTGTCCTCAGCCTTAGACTCTGAGGAAGGAGGGACTGGCTGATCCGGGGCCGGGGCCGGGGATCCAGGAGGCGTTTGCTCGGGGTTGGGGGGGTGCAGGTTGAGGCCAGGTCTGTGTTGGGAGTTTGTGTCAGGCGGGACGCGGGGCCAGGAGCTGGGCGCCACCGGGCGCAGGTAACTTTTAGGTTCGCGACCCATTGTTTCCGAGGCTGGCCCGGCGCGCAGACAGCCCCGGGTATGCTGGATGGAGCCTGGGGCGACCTTGCTTTTCTTGGGTGAACCGGCGATAGCCTGGGCGTCCGGCGCAGTTCCCACAGCCTTAGTTAGGGAAGAGAGAAAGAAAAAGTACTTAGGGCTCCCGGGACCACGGTTCTTTGGCTCGCCGAGCGGGCTGGTGGCTCTCTGCCGCCGGACTGTTCAAAAATTACCCGGGAAGCCTTTGTCAGAAATGTGGGGACGCGTAGGGACTGACCTCGGCGCGCTCTGCCAGGTGCTTTTTGTCCCGGGAGTAACCCTCCTCTGACTATTGTCCAACTACTTCCCTGTGCTTCCCGGAGGCTCCTTCCTCCTCCGCTGAGGGTGGAGAGTTGCTCCTGGGTTGATTACAGGGCGCAGCACGGAGCATGTTGCATGTGTGTGTTGGCGGAGCCCGTACGACGTTTGGAAATGTGGCTCTTAGGGTAGGATCAGAGCTGTCCTGGGCACCGAGGTCTGGGGCGCCCATTCCCGGAAGGCTTACCCTGCTTATGTAGCGAAGCCACCACAAAGCTGGCTCCACACACATCTCCCGGAGTCCTCCTGGCTGGCCCGAGCTGGGAACGTTCTCAGCCCGCCAGGACGACCCCGGGAGAGAGACGCGAGGCGGTGTTCCTTGATATCCCTTTTGAGTTCTAAGTAAAGCCCCCCCTCCCCGAAGACCCTGGACCCACAGTCTCTCGGACTGGTGGTCTCTGTTCCCATCCAGTTTTGATATCCTTCCTGTAGGTCGGTTGTTTTTGTGTAGCCTCTGCGGGCTCTGAAGTTTCACCAGGTGGACGCTGGGGAGCGGGCTCCCGGGTTGAGCTTCTGCCTCCCGCAGGGCTTGACAACTTTTCCGGCCAGCCCACCCAGCCCAGCGCGTTTGGCGGGCGCCTCTGCTGCCTGGGTTCCCAGTGCAGATGGAAACGCCGAGTGGCCGGAGGGGGACGGGAAACGCGACAGCCGCGCTCCTGGCTGAACCGACAGGATGCGTGGACCGAACTTACTTTGTACTTGACAGTTTCATTGTTGAGACTGCCTGATTTCCTGGAAATAAACTCACCGTGTTGTCTTCCGGAGCAATCCTTCCTTAGCTTTTCTTCTCCCCTCCCCCTCTAGAACTGTATACGGGGAGTTAGACCTCAGATTCTGCTGTCTGAGCATATCCTCCTCTTAGGCAGATACTGTGAAATGGTAGCAGGCAAAGGAAAGACCATGTATCTGGGTGATGTGCAGAGGGCACTAGCTCTATGCAATGAGCTCCGACGACTTAATTTAATTCTCTCCGGGTTCAGCATTACCGCCTGCGTCTCTGCCATACAATGCTGTTAGTATTGGAACCATGCTTGATGTGACTCATTATATGCAGCAAGTTGGAGGGAGTATTGATTTCTACACAGTGCTTGTCACTGCACGGAGAGCGTAGCTTGAGAAGACATGCAGTTTGTTAATTGAACTTTACCCGTTGCACGATTAAGCTCATGTATTCAGGACTGAAGACCAGTGATGTCTTGACAGCCGATGGATATATTTTCATCATTGGAGAAACTTTTCTCTTTTAAAGTGTTATTTATCTTTTAATCAACGAGTACTGAGATTTGCATCATCACAGTGTGCAGATGTGCCTCAGAGAGTTTATTGTGAATGTGGTCAGTCCTCACAGAACTAGCTACCATCATCTTGCTATTCAGGATGTTCATGCATGCTCATAACCGAAGGTCTTTTATCTCTCAAGTTTAAAAAGTCAGATTGTGGACTTATCTGTCTTTTTCCAGAGAGTTAAAGTTGGTTTTGTAGTTATCTGTCTCTCTCTTTTTCTTTCTAGTTGTCATAAATCATTTGGTATTGTAATGTCATTAGACTCTATGGCATATTTTTAAAAAAATATTGATTGGAGATGGAGATGAATTAGAGATTGGACGTGTTTTCTTTCTTGCTGTTTTTTTTTCTTCTGATATTCTATTTTCAATGATGAACTTCTGGAGAAATCTAAATGAGCATGCTTTAAAGATCTAAAGAGATGTATAGTAGTTATATAGTATGTAAAGTAGTTCATTCTCTTGAATATGTATTTGGAATCATGATTGCCAAGGTCAGTTCCCCACTTTTCACCATTATTGTGTGGGCTGTTAATGTCATAAGCTTGAAAACAAACTTGGGAGCATACTGTAGTTGGGAATTTGAAACGCCCTATATACATTGAATCTCTCTCTGTCTCAATCACACATGTAACACTTTCCTATCGCAACTTTTTTTTTTTCTGTTTGCAGTTAAAAGTGTAAAACTGCTTCATGGGGAACATCTTTAAAGCCAGGGCTTTCTAAATTTCACCTTGCACTCTAGTCTCTGAAAATAACCCTTGCATCTGCGTTCTACCCAGGGCAACGGAAGGGTGGGAGACCAGAGTGTTACTACAGTCTATTTACTGGGCTGCGTAGCTGTTTCTGTTGATATCACCATGCGAGCAGGCTTTCCGCAGAACTCCCATCCGACAGAACCAGTCTCACTTGGAAACTCAGCTTTCTCATCTATAAAATGGGGATAATGATACGCGTCCTGACCTTGGCACATAGTTTTTATGAGGATCAAGTCAAGTCATTGATGTGAGCCAGCACCGTCAACTGTAAATCACAGTGCAGCTATCTGGGGTGTAATCATCATAAATTAAGGTAGCTGGAGTGCCAGCGTTTCAGCTTTTACGGCTCTTAAAATCTTAGAACTCTCAGTAACTATAGGCTATTCAGCAAGGTGTGTGTGTGTGTGTGTGTGTGTGTGTGTGTGTGTGTGTGTGTGTGTGTGTGTGAGAGAGAGAGAGAGAGAGAGAGAGAGAGAGAGAGAGAGAGAGAGAGAGATTTTCTACTGGTCATCCATTTCCATTATAAACATCCTAGATTGATTTAGACCATGAGTTTACGACAATATCAGAATTATCTTTGATCACTTTTTTAGCTTAACTATGCAGATCTTTCAGAAACTTACTGAAGAGTTGCTACTAATGTTCCCAGTACCCTAACTGCAGGAAAACTACTTGTACAGTCTTGTTATTTGAAAGTAATTTGTTGAACTCCCAGCTCAGCATTTTCTCAGTGTGGAGAATTACATGTAACTTTGGATGCAGTCTTATCAATGACCTAGAGAGGGACTATTGTGTCTGGTATGAAGTGAGCCTGAGAACGTCGCTCAAGATCCTGCTTTGGATGAGGTCCTGGCACATCACCCTGGTCATCCCTTAGGGCCTTGCAACTCGTCTGAACAGAACCACTTGCCTTGCGTCTGGCTTCTTGTTGTCTCTAGTCCAAAATTAAATTTCTCTTATTCTGATTATCCTCTGGGAAGAGTCACTGGAGCCAGCTCGTGTTTAGGGCTTGCCATTTCGGTTTCTAGTTTTGATTGACTGGTATTCTTTGTATGTGTCTAAATACATTAAAATTCCAAATTGGGCGCCCTAGCAATGATACAGCTCATTCCTGGACCATTTCTCTCTGATTGGTTCCCTTCTCTCGGAGTTTCCTAGCCTGTGAGATGTCCTTTTGTGTCTGGCCTGCCCAGACGGAAAGAGGCAGCTTTGGCTGCTGTTTTGGCCACTGGCCTGTGTGTTGCTGACAGCTCTTCCCTTTGTATTCATGAATGTGAATCTGAAAAATAAATCAATAAATCAACCCCTCTGCTACTCTGCCCCTCTTTCACACTTCCTCCCACGCCTCCCCGGTAACGACTTAGCTCCCCCTGCGTATTCACCCAATCAGAAGCTCTTCGTTTTCATCAAATAATCTTTAGGTACTGCCTATGCTCTTAAATACTAGCCATATGACCAGTCCACTATCCAAAGCTAGAACAGTTCTCTCACGTTCGAGACACTCGCCTGTGTCCAGCATTGTCCATATTGGTGCCCATGTGTGTAGTGTCAATAATAAATTTATATTCAGATAATTCTATATAGAGAACACGTGTCTACCACTGTTTTCCAGTGCATTGGCCTGTTTCTTCCCAAGACTGTATTTAGACAGAGTAGGTCATAGTGAGTGTGGATCTGCACTGTTCCCATTTCCTCAACTTGTTCTTTAAAGAGGGAAGGACAAGGGATTGCTGAAGGCTGACAGCAGGAAGTATCAAAAGAATGTGCAGACAAAATACAGGGGGCGCACGAGTGCCTGCTTGTGTGTGTGTGTGTGTGTGTGTCCCCGCGCGCCTGCACGCGTACATGTGTGAGATCATTTACTTAGTTTTCAGAAGAGGGAAAAGCTTCTTTTTTCCTGAGTTGTTTATTAGAATCGGCCCTTTTGCCTTTGTCCAAACAGATTCATTTCTTATTCTGTGAATGTAAACATTTCCCTCTGTGTATGCCTCTCAGACTTTCCCCTTGATCATCTGTGTCTGGTCTGTGTTCCTTTATCAAATGGTGTTTCTCTGCCTAAAAAGGTTGTAATTGCTTTTGAACATGACTTGGTTTTTTCATCAGAGTCCATGCTGTTTGTCATGGTTACTGAAAAATTGCACAAAACATATCAAGTCACCTTATATCTTAAAATGGCATTTGATTACAAAGCTAATGAATAATGCATCGATCAGACTGCTCTTTATTTCAGTTGAAGCCAAAACAAGCCCGCCTATCCATGAAATAATTTTTTTTAATGCCACAGAATGTTTGTTTCTTGTGTTTATCCATTTCTGAATGAGAGACTTCATAGTGCTTTTTGTAAGAGTGGGTAGAAAATTTGAATACCAGG